TTTAGAGAAGTTTTTTCATTATCTTCTCTAAAAGTATGTTTTAGTAACTCTTACAAACCGTCACAAATACTTGAAAAGTGTCACTAATATATATATATATATACTTTTAGAGAAGTTTTTCCATTATCTTCTCTAAAAGTATCTTTTAGTAACTCTTACAAACCGTCACAGATACTTGAAAAGTGTCACTAATATATATATATATATATATATATATATATATATTTAGAGAAGCTTTAAATAAAAAGTTGACTAACCTTTAGAGAAGTTTTAAAAGTATCTAAAGCCTCAATTAAGCGTCTCTAAAGGCTAACAAAAACACACCCTTCGAAAACCCTTTCTAAAACCTTCACCTACCGTCACACAGAGAAGGTCTTTGACAAAATTGAAAACCTTATCTAAAGGCTTTAGAGAAGCTTTTAAGACTTTAAAGTACAAAACAAAAGCTTCTCTGAAGGTCATTTTTCTTGTAGTGAATCAATCTATAAAATTAAAATTAGAATCAATATAGAACTAAAAACCTATTACAATCAATACAGTAATATATATAAAAGATAGAGACAAAGTGAATTGCATAGTCACATCGTAAACACTTAAAGACTTAAAGATCATCGTAAAGTGACTTGTTGAAACTCTCACAACACGTAAAGTGAATTGCATAGTCACATCGTAAACACTTAAAGANACACTTAAAGACTTAAAGATCATCGTAAAGTGACTTGTTGAAACTCTCACAACACGTAAAGTGAATTGCATAGTCACATCGTAAACACTTAAAGATCATCGTGTACTGCAATGAAAAGCCACAATCTTCGCATTCATCTTCGCTTTCAATCCCTTGAACAAATGACACACTGTGTGGGTGATCATCAATGATATGAATGCCCCCAAACTTTATATTCAAAAACTCATAAATCCTTTTAGGAACACGCTCAACTCTAGCAGCTCTTCTGCATTCAAGTATTAACGGAGCACATGCAGAATGTATAGATTGGACACAATCATAACAATGATAAAACCAATACTCTGGATCAAATTCCACTTCACAAACTTCACAAAAATATTGACTCTTATGATTCTCGATAGGGAAATAGCTCAGCTTCATGGGATGCTTATCAAATTTGTGTCTAATTGTTTCCGGTAACAACAAAGCACACTCGGGATGCAAATCAAATTCACAAGTACCACAACTAAATGAAAATCCATTTTCATCAAAATCTCTCACACATGAACGACAACGGTTTTCACTCGTCCTTGATTGAACTCTCCAAATAAGATGATTCGGATGAGCTTGGTGTACTATTTTATCAGGTATGAATGCGCAATTTACATCTATGTAGTACTCACATATAGGACAAATATAGACAAATCCGTTGCAATATAAACGGCAAACAACACACCTGAACACACCCAAAAGCCTATGAACGAGATATGGTAGGAGAAAAAGAGAATGTTGAGGGTGACCTGGGTGGTTTGGTACTTGATCGGGTAGTCGGGTGCACCACTCATGAAGAACAAAGTCGCATGACTCATCTTCATCTACACACTTGTAAAATGGCATGTTTGTGATTGGCCTCAAACATCCATTACATAGTAGTTCAATCTTCTTCATTGGGTTATGACAAGATAACGGTTTGGATTTTGAGGAGGCTGACTTTGCAATCTCATTACCTTGTGTACCAACTAGAATGAGCGGGTGTTCATGACTCAAGTGTTGTATAGTATTCATTGGGGATGCCATTTTTTTGAAAAACATGTGTTTTAGTATGCTGTATGTTTGATCTGGGAACGGGAAATAGAGAAGATCTGGATAGTCGGCATCTGCAAAGTTTTTATGGGTTTTGCCAAAACCTGATGAACCATATAAAATTCAGTAACTAAATAATCAATGAAAATCGACAAAATGAAAGCAATCATAAAAATAGCTGAGAAATTTACCGGCAGGTGAGAAGATGGACAAGAATGGTTCTCCTCTTGCCGTGGCACAATCTAGATGGGCATAGTATCTGCACTTGTCGCATTTATAAATCCATAGGTTTTCGTTGTCAAAAAAGCCTCCGCATACCCTACACCTAGGATCAAATTTGGCTTCTTGAACTGCTGCTGGGAAGGAGTATGCAATGGCGAGTGAATGTTTATGAGAGAAGTCATCGTGTGTGGCATGTTGAATTAGCAGCTTTTTTGGCAAAAGAAAACAATCCGTATGGATAAAGAAGTTAGAACACGTGATACAATGATAAAATATCCCCTGATGCTTTTTCCCACAAGCACTACACTCGCATATTATTGGTATAGTGATTTGAAGTAACGGGTGTTTGTGACTCGGGTGGTGGATTGTCTTTTTATCCGCCGTCAAAGCACAACTTATATCAACATCAAATTCACATTGAGGACACTGATAACTTATTTCTTGAGGCTTATGTTGCTTTCCACAAGCATGACAATGCCAATTTATTTTTCTCTGTAGAAGGGTAAGAATATGATCATTGTGGGACGTGTGTTTTAATGTTGTTGGGAGGTCGCCACAAAATTTGTGGATTGAGTATTCACATGAATCACTACACTTATAGTAATACCTATGGTGCCCATTGATTTCTTGGCCGCAACGATCACATGTACATTTCAAGTCCTCTGTTGCAATCATATCACCATCTGTTTCATCCTCATCTTCATAATCTTCTTGAATTTTGGAATATTCGAGCTCCAGATCGATGAGACTCAATGGGTGTTCATGTTCAAACACTTCCATCGTAATTAGCGAATGATTTTGAAAAAAACAAATCAAGGGCCAACAGGGAAAAGATCAGGAGGAGATATCAAGTACATACCAAGGGTTTGGTGATCTTGTTCTTGATGAATGGAACTAGAGAATGTTATATAAAATAATTTGTCGGTGCACATGTCACCCACTAATAAATGTGAAGTGGATGCATGTCGAATATTGTCCACTTTTTATTTAAGCATTTTATTTCAAAAGAATAGAAGGGTATTTAAAAAATGAAAGATTAAACTGAAATTTCAATAAAACTTCTCTAAATAATGAGTTTTTGTTTCATTGAGATTAATTATTATTTACACACCACACATTATATATTTTAATTCTATTAAATTCCATTTTAAATTATAATTTAGTTACTATTTACATAGCATTTCTATTTTTATATATAATCGACATTGAATATTATTTACACAACACTAATTATATATTTTTATTATAATTAATGACCATTACTAATTATTTTAATTTTCATAACTCTTTACAGGTATATATAGTATATTATTTAAAAATAATAAATCAATCAGACTCTTAAACAACTGAGTGCGATGAAATATACAACTTACGATGCTAATGTAAAGTATTTGTTGCTTAAAATGTGGGATCGTATAGACACAAACCTAAGAATTTTTTAAGTGTTGACATCATTTGACAATAAGAAATGAGTATGAGGTATGTGTTCAAGTCTTTTATTCAAATTTCTTTTTAAAAAATGAGATTTGTGGTTTGCATTTTTACTAAACTGCACTATGCGGTGCGGTTTACTGTTTGAGTTAACAAACCGTGGTTAAAACCGCATTGCACCACATATTTTGTATATTTGTTAATTTTATATATAACACACACGTGTGTGTGTGTATATATATATATAGAATAATTGATAATTTATTATTCATATAATAATTTTTGACTTCATGTTTTGAACTTTGAGTTTGATCAATGACGATTGACAAAATTAATAAATTAACTTTAAGGCCCATACGACTGTAACCACATGTCCAACTTACACGCCACAACTCACAACTCACACGTACAATTTAATTTGAAGTTTATTTATTTTTACTTCTTATACAATTTTTAATCACGCAGTATGTATTGAGAATCTTTATTTTTGGACAATGATCACTTTACCGTTGATCTATAATGTATTTTAAAACTTATAATTATTGAATGTAGGTATAAAGTGCGATAGTTACAAACCGCATAAATCGCACTGCAATGCGGTGCGATTTATTGCGGTTTGAGGTTTATGCGGTGCGATTTGGGAAAATGCTCAAACCGCATATGTGGTCCGATTGTGTTTTGGCCTCAAATTGCACCCTGAACACCCCTAATAGTGCCTGAGTGCCTACTTTATGACTAACTGGGTGTTGTGCTTGAGTGCCAACTTTATAACTAATGTAGTGCCTAGCTAAGAGCCTACTATATGATTACCGGTTTAAAAGGTTTTGTATGAACTGTTTTTATTTCATTATTGCATTGTCAAAGATTTCGTCACTAGACCGTATGGTCTAACCCTTATTTTGTTCTAAAAAATATGCATTTCAGAATAACAACGTATAAAGAGTAAAGGAAAAGCAAAGATGTGAATCTGTCTATTTGGATGCTTATATGTAGAAATTTTGTGTTATATGTCATGTGGAAATGTGGGTTTTTGCACACCTAACAAAATAATATAGTGACACATTTTATGACCCTATTTTTTTACACTACGACGGAGGAACGAAGTGATGGTTTGTGCCACAATATGTACCATAGTGAGTCCGCCCATGTGCTTGTGCCTCCACGACTCTAATTATGTTCCGCCCCTAAGTGAATTTGCATAGGATTACTTACCTTTTTTACGGGATTTATATAACAAGATGCATGTGTGAACCCATGTTTTGATTTATTCGTATATAGTTTATTGAATGCCCCCAAACTTTATATTCAAGAACTTATAAATACTTCTTTTAGGAAAGCGAGATGCTGCAATCAAGTATTAACGGGACACTTGCTGGATGTATAGATTGGACACAATCATAACAATGGTAAAACCAATACTCCGGATTAAATTCCAACTCACAAAAATATTGACTGTTATGATTCTCGATAGGGAAATAACTCAGCTTCGTGGGGTGCTTATCAAACTTGTGTCTAACTGTTTGTGGTAATAATAAAGCACACTCGGGATGTAGATTAAATTCACAAGCACCACAACTGAAAGAAAATCCATTTTCATCTCACACATGAACGACAACGGTTATTACTCGGCCTCCAAAGGAGATGATTCGGATGAGCTTCATGTACTATTGTATCAGGTATGAATGCACAATTTACGTACATGTGGTACTCACAATCAACACAAGTATAGACAAATCCTACGGCAAACAACACATTAGAACACACCCAAAAGCTTATGAGAGATAATTGGCAGGAGAACAAGGGAATGCTGAGAGATGGTGTAGTTGTAAATCTATGAGACTCGATGAATGTTGTATTTTTCTTTTTTTTTTGGAAAATGAACCCAAAAAAGGAAAATAAAAATCTTGTGATAATTCTATCATGTATGTTCCATAAGACATATTATAGTTTTATATATTTTAAATTCATTTAATTTAATTCACATTTTATTTTGAATTAAATTTGTCTCGTACTTCATAATATTCATGTATGGTGTTGCTAAATATTCTTTTTTTCTATGTATGTTTTCTTATCTTTTCCCTTTTACTTTACCATCTTTTAAAAAAGATATGCATTACTTGTATCCCAAGATATTCGTTGTTTCAATTTAACACCTACAATATTCTCTGACTTCTTTTAAATCATAATTTGTTTTATTCACCATAATTTTGAGTATGACTTTACACATTTGATTAATAATCAAATATAAAATACGATCTCCAAGAACCTAAAAGGTTATGATTGTAATTTTATTGTGTTTAGTTATACATATGTAATATTAAATGATAAACTTGAATTTTAAAAGATTTTGAAAATATAAAGTAAATCTATATATATATATATATATATATATATATATATATATTAAAAGAAGAATCATGAGTGTTTGAGGTGGCATCATGAGAATTGAGTATTGAGGTGTTGGTGAATTGTGGTTGAGTTTGAGATATCCCACATTGGTAAAGAGTTGAAAGATTTAAACAAATTAAAGTGTATAATAAAGGTGGATTGGAAACTTTTGTGTCAAATAATGGGGTTTGCTTCATACCATTGTATTTCTTTACATGACCCTCTTTGAAATCTATAACCATGGTTGGAAACCAAACAAACCAAATGCTAAAATTATAGTGCCAAGTTAATTATATTATACACACACATAGACACACACACACACACACACACACACATATATATATATATATATATGTAAAACCTTAGGGTGATAAGGTGACACCATGAGAATTATAAAAGTAAAACCTTGAGGTAATGAGGTGGCATAATGAGAATTGGATATTCTTAAATGGTGAATTGTGGTTGAGTTTTAGTTGTCGTACATTGATGAAGAGTTCACTACCAAAAAACCCACTTTTTCCGGCGGCCAAATCCGCCGGAAATCCGCCGGAAAATAAGGGGCGCCGGTGATTGGTTTTCCGGCAGATTTTCCCTGTTTTCGGCGGATTACGTCGGCCGAAAATTATTCGCCCGTTTTTAAAAAAATCTTGATTAACTTAACAAAACTTTAATTTTTTTTTAAAATTTTCGGCGGAATATTCCGCCGGAAATCGGCCGGAAATATTTCTCGCCGGAAAAAAATTATTTTCTAAAAGATTTATTTTTTTTAAAAATACCGGCGGATAAATCCGCCGGAAAAATATATATATAATAATATTTTTTTTTTAAATAATATTTTTTAAATGAATTAATTTTTAAAAAAAATACCGGCAGATATTTCTGCCAGAAATCAGTCTGAAAAATATATAAAAATTAATATTTTTTTAAAAAAATAATATTTCTAAAAGAATTAATTTCTTTTTTTAAAAAAAAATACCGACGGATAAATCCGCCGGAAAAATATATAAATATTAATATTTTAAATTTATTTTAAAATTAATATTTAAAACCTGTTTTTAAAATCTGCAAATCTGTACAATATTAAAACTAAAAATAAAAAGGAGAAATAGAACTAAATATCATACATTAAAGTGAAACTACAATTATTCCAACCAAACAAAAACTAAATTGTTATAAACAAAACTAAATTGTTTCAAAACAAAAGACAATATTCAATAAGGTGGTGGTGGCGGGAAATGTTGAGATTGACTGGGCTATCTAACCAAAGCAGCCATATCTTGAAGTTGTCTATCATGTTGCTCCTCCCTCTATCGTCATCGCTCCGCCTCCACCCGCTATCGCTCCTCCTCCGCCAAACGTCGCTCCTCCGCCGCCTGCCATCGCTCCTCCTCCGCCAAACGTCGCTCCTCCTCCGCCATCCGTTGGCGCTGACTTTGTTCCTGTAAGTCTCTAAGTTGGCGCTGAATTTGTTCCTGTAAGTCTCTAAGTTGGGTCTTTAAGTGTAATAACCGGATCCTGGTTATTACCCAAGATAATTTATACGTGAATATTTGACTAAATGATTACGTGATAACATGATAAATTGATACGTGCTAGTATGTGCATAACGTGATTTTGGTGCATAAAATAATCTGTGCATTTAAAAGTATATATATATATATAT